GGAAAGAGTTGGAAAACCTGTTATTTCTTCCCTTAATTCACATGGCAATTACATTTTAAAAGATGCACAAAAAGTTTAATATTTATATGTAAAGCAGTTAAGTTGCAGGCTCAGAGATTTTTCACCTCCATGAACATTGAGTAGCTATTCTAAAGTTATGTGGAGTGTGTAAGACAATTCTTTTGTGCCCCAGGCATATTAGGACATCCAGCACCCATGGCCCCTGCTTAAATGTCAATAGTCTCGATCATTATGAAAATCAAAAAATGCCTATAGGGAGCAGTACTACCATTCTTTGAAAACTATTGCCACGTGATCAAGTATCAAGGCTGGAATTTTATAATTCAATTATAATTTTATAATGCAGCAGGGGCACAGCAAGTATTCAGTACCCAAAGCATCAACAATAACATGGGTATAAAGTGCAATGCAAATTACCCAGAGCTGTTAAGTGCGACCTTGAAAATCTCTTTGGTTTTATTCCTCTTTCCCACTAAAAGCAGAGAATTCCAGGGGTGGGATGGTAATCCATGGTCTCTGGAGGAGCTATGTGCCAGACTGGGGTCAAAGACAAAGCATAATATGGCAGGTCATTTTGTGTTTCTCTTCTTTAGCCACCTAGGAACATATGGAGTTTTTACAAATGCTGCATTTGACCCAAGCCCTTAAGGTAAGTTATCTATGAAAGTATTTTTGAAGAAAATAGAACAGTAGGGGAAAAAGAAAGAATATAAAGCTTGACTTTTCTTTATATAATCATGAGTCACATTTTAACCATGTATTAAATGTTCAAACCATGCAGGAAATTGTGTTGGCAGTAGGGGACAGGTATAGCAGTAGAGTGACAATAGAAAGTGAGATCATAAGAAGATTTCCATTTCCTCCAGGATAGAAATGTTCTAATTAGACAGAACCTATGTCAGGATGTATGACATTCAATTACTGGCTGCTAGGTGGTACTGATACCGCAGCTTTGCTTGACCATCAGAAGTCACGAGTGCTAGAAAAAGGTTTACAGACTTTATGGAGCCAATTCCCTATGCGACCTGCTAGGAAAACAAAAGTCATATAACTTCTCTCTCCCAAAAAGCTCAGTGAATGGTTGAGTTTCCTAAGAGAAGTAGCCTAGATGGCAGAATATCTGGAATCTAGAAAAAGATTATACTAAGCCTTAGGGGGTACATAGGATGAGAGCTTTCTTTTATCTTTTTTGGGAAAATATAATTATTTTAATTTTTTGTCTCATTTTCAGAGACCCGTCCTTATCTTGGTCCCCTCACTCAACCTCCACAGGATCCTATTTTTGAACATCAGCCTTCCCGACAGACTTGACTATAACTGTAGCTTATTTGCCTCAGTCTTCTGTAAATACTTGTGAATAAAGGGCGTGGAATTTCCTTTAGATTAGCTGTGGACCAGAGCAGAAGGACTGTATCAGAAGCCCCAACTCTCCACCCACCACCCCTTCCTGCTCCAGTTCCTCTTCCTCCAACACAAGCCTCAGAAGCTGGGACTGAATGTCTCTGCCGTCGTCTGTGGGCTTTGCCCCAGCTGTCTCTTGAGATACTAATTAACTAGAGCCTGAAGCATCTGACTCACCGGAAGACCAGACTGCAGAAAAATAAGAATGCCTCTTTATTTTTGGATTGGGGGAAATCATCCTCTATTTTGCTGGAAGGCAGGAGGCATCTCTGACTTGAGGGAGTTTCTGTAGCATTTCCTGGGTCTTCACTGCTTGCTGTTTGTGAAGGCTTTTAGACCTCTGCTGCGAGGCTTCAAGAGAAGCCTCTGGATGGCACCAGAGGCTGCAGAAGACTAAGAATCGAGACAGGAAGGTACATGTCACTGTAGACCTTCCCTTCACCGGTCATTCTCCCCCAGAGGACCCAAAGACCAATACTCGAATGTCTAATTAAAAGGATTCCCCCAAATGCCATGTTCTATTATTTGACATTTTGTTGAATAAGATCTGTGTCCATCACTTTGCATACATGAATGTAATGCACAATCACAGTAGTCCCAATTACAAGCTCAGCCCTTCAGTGAGCAAATATGTATCTTGCCACCACCATAAACACACAAGAAAATCAGAGAAGCAGAAAAATGTCTTCATCACCTGAGTGTTTTACACGTTGTTTAATTCACATGCTTAATAAATAGGTTATTGAAAGTTACACAGTAGTTGTTTGAAACTGATACAAAAAATATAGAGCCAAACAATATCGTTGTCCTCTCTGTGAAATGTGAGGCAATGAACATGTCACACAGACTAAGTAAATATGCAAATAAAAATGCAAATAAAACACGCAAATAAAAATGGTGAAAGTCTAACTAAAGGTTACAAGATTTTGCAAGAATTTTGGTAGTAACCTTGGGATTTAGGGACACACTGCTTTTAAAAAGTTTCACTCATATACTGTACATAGCATCTCTGACTGCTTACCTTATGCCAATCACTAGGCTCCGTGTTATAGGACGATGATTATCACCCTGTCTCCTGAGTCAGAATCTGCCTTTTGTAAAATCATCCCAGGGAATTCTGATGGTTTATCAGCTTTGCGAACCACTGATATTATAGATACAGAAGGATAAGGCATTCACTGTTCCTGTTCTTGAATAGCTTATAATCTAGTTGGGGACACAATAGACACCACTACAAAGTGATAGAGAGTAATCAACATCAGTATGTTATTTGAAGCGTGTGGTAGGAATTCATAAAATGGAAAAGTCAAGTTGGCCCAGAATCAAGGAGATAGAACTCTGATTGGCCTTTAGAGAGTGGACAGTCTGAGTTGATCAAATAATATCGGCCAAGAAGCAGAGACAGAGACCATATGTTGAGGAGACTGAAGACATCATAGAGATCTCATGTGAGGTGCTAAATTACAATTTATTGAATCTGTTGAGACAAATCATAGAAGCTTGGAGGAATGTAGATTCAGGGGACCTGGGATAAGTCATAATGATGCTTCAGACAAGATAATTTTCAGATTCTCTATAAATAGCAAAATCATATCTTAAGGCCACGTGAAACAGCCAGATCCTCCAAGATACATAAAGGGCTCTGGAGGCAGGAAAAATATAATCATAGTGATCAACACGCGCTGTGTGCTTTCCAACTGCTGGGAATTATATACTTCACAGTGTTCTTTTATCCTCCCAACCACCCTATCGGAAAAAACTATTATTATCAGCCCTGTTTTGCAGGTGTCAAAATTGAGATCCAGAGAGGTTGTGTAACTTATCCAAGAGAACACAGCTAGTAAGTGGGATTGAAATCTGGTCTGATTCTCTCAGTGAAGCTCTTTAAGCCCTCTCCTCTGTCACTGCCTTAGGTGGCCACAGGCCCTTATCAAGACAGAACTGTGCAACAGAGAAAGACAAATACCATATATCGCTTATATGTGGAATCTAAAAAAATAATAGAAAGGAACTTACTTACAAAACAGAAATAGACTCACAGACATAGAAAACAAACTTATGGTTATGAAAGGGGAAAGGGGGGAGCAATAATTTAGGAGTTTGGGATTAAAATATACACACTACTATATATAAAATAGGTAAACAACAAGGACCTACTGTATAGCAGAGGGAACTCTACTCAATATTTTATAATAACCTATAGTGGAAAATAATCTAAAAATTATACGTATATATATATATATATATATATATATATATATATATATGAATCACTTTGCTGTATACCTGAAACTAACACAACATTGAATCAACTATATTTCAATATACATATATATTTTTTAAAAGACAGAACTGTGCATGGGTAGAAGTCAGTAAAGTGGGCCAGGCCAGCAGGCCCCATTCACGTGACCATCCCCTTGCTTGTTCACCACCTGAAAATACAATATTTCTGTGCCCAGTAACAGGGCATAGGGCCCTCTTCCTCAGATCAGGAGAGCAGTGTGGTGAAGGGATTTGGGTCCCACTGCCCTGGGAATTGCAGAGCGCCTGGTAAGTGTGAACTCTGCCCCAGGCAGTGTTTACGGTGGTGGGGTCTGATGAGGGGCTACTGAGCCGTGGGGTCAGCAGATGGAAACTGGGGGGGACAGTGTTGCCCCGTCTCATGAATCCCTGAGCACTGCCCTGCCTGCTAGAGCCACTGATTGCTGCCCTTTCTCCACCGGTCGTAAAACAGTCACTCACCTGGTTGCTCTCCCTAATACCTCCTGTCATCTGGAGCAGTGACCTAGTCAACCCCAGCTTGGAAAGGCCCCAGGAGGTGGGGACAGCGCGGGCTGCAGCTGCCGCGACGCCTGGGGGAGCTGTAGAGGAGGAGGACACTGCCACCCGCAGCCGCGCGGCGCTCACTGCAGTCCCGACAGCGGCCAAGCCCGGCCAAGCCGGGCGCGATCGGCTGAGGCAGAGGCAGGAAAGGAACCATGTTCCCAGCTTGCCCTTGCCTCTGGGTCCTCGTAGTCCTGGGCTCCAGCTGGGCAGGCTGGGGGAGCCTAGGGGCTGAAGCAGCGCGGCTAAGGCAGTTCTACGTGGCTGCTCAGAGCATCAGCTGGAACTATCGCCCCGAGTCCACATACCTTAGGTAAGGCAGGCATGGCGACCGGTGGGCTTCTCCAGGGAGGACAATCTATTTCTTTTAGAGAGCATTCCCTTTGCAATTGCATTGCTTTTTTTTTACTTCAGGTAGGTAAATACAATTAATAGAAGAGCATAATGAATAAAATAAGCTTGGTGGTTGCTCATTTTGCCTCCAATAATACAAGTTTATCATTCTGAGGATATGGAAAATAGTGTTTGACTGGCTAGATGCTGTTTCAAGTTTGCTGTTAATACAGTGTTGTTAGTATGATTGATAGCTGATTTAATATATTGATTGATCCAAAAGCACCAGGTACCTACCTCTTCACTCCTGTTCCAGATTTTTAGTAGTCTAGTATTTTATTAAACTTCTAGTTACATATTATTTATTCCATGTCCACATAACTTCATCTTCTAAAACTAAAGGTGTACACTATACTTTATTACAAGCAGGTTATTCGATAACAACTGCCATAATTTTGTTGTTTTCTTATAAATGACTTTCAAAACGTCATCAGTTCATAAAAATGCAACATTGTTGTTCTTTTACCTTTTTTCTGCTTCTTGTGACTCTTCGTTTTTCTCTCATTCTTAATCACTCCCTGGGATATGGTCTACTCTGGCTATTTTGATAGAGTCACTATTAAAAGGCATATGTGACTTAGAGGGGGGTTAAATAATAAAACTGTATTTGAGCTGCAAACTATTTTTCCTAGTTGAAAGGTTAAAAATAAGACTTCACAGAAATTAAACAAATCATAGGTTCTACTCAATATTTCCAGTTAGTTATGTTTTTATTTCTTTTAATGGTAAACCTCTTAGTGTGACTTAAGTTTTTTTGTAACTTAACATCACAGTTTAAGCAATTGTGAAAGATGTGTTCCTCTTTTACAGTTTCGAAAACAAAGCAATCTGCCAAGAAGATAGTGTAATGTTTTAAGCCTTTTAGGGTATAACATTACCCTTTCAAAACCTTTTCTGTGGAATTGGGTTATTTTGGAGGGCATTGCATCTTGGTCTTGTAATAATAAGTCCCTCTTTTTTTTTTTATACAGAAAAAGAGGGACTTCTTATTTAAATATTGTACATTTAAAATATTGTATTTCAAGGTGATA